TATGATACTGACTGGCTGTCTCAGTGTGGATTTGTAACCTAAGCTACTACCCAGAAATGCCCAGGTTTATTGATTAAAATGTTTTTATGCTAAAGAAACAAAATTGGAGAGCTCTGTTCCCTGAAGAAAATTGTGATTAACCTGGAAATTGATTCCCCCCCCACCCCCTCACCCCCTTTCTGTACTTCAAGAAAGGAAAGCCATATCCTAGCAGAGTATCCTGCCTTCTTGTCCACACCTTTATCTGGTCACTGAATCCAACAAACTGTTTTTTTCTGTTAGATTTACCCTCTTTGTCCGTCTGCCATGCTACTCCCAAAATGGCTTCAGCCGCCTTCTCCTGCTTGTCGCGAGCGCAGCAGAAGTGATCCGCAGCCTTGTGCATTTGTGAGCCAGCCACCGACTGCTGGTCTGACGCGAAATGTCATTAAACCCCAGTTTGTTACCTGATGTCCTGGTCCAATACCCTACTGTGCTGGCTTATGTTAGTTCTAGGGAATATAGAATTAAAGCAGTGTTGTGAAAGATGACTCCCAGGCAGTGTTTGGCTTAAAGAAAAAGGCATTGCACACTCTGTGCAGAAGGACTCGGTCACGAAGATTCATGCTGAGGTGGGATGGTTGGGTTGGAGGCAGGTGAAGCCTCTGGTCCTGGCTGCATGGTCCCATTGGTGCTCAGCAAAGCCTTTGATTTGGGAACACTAAGCTGGTTAGGGCTTTGTACTGCGAGGAGGAGGGAAGTTAGTTGGGGCGTTTTGTGCTTTTTTTGTTGTTGTTTTGGCTTTTTTTTTTTTTTTTTTTTTTTTTTTTTTTTTTTTTTTTTTTTTTTTTTTACTCATCTGAAATGAGTCAGGGAAAGTCCCGATGGCTGTGGGAGGGAAAGGATGAGACACGGGAGGTCAGGAGGGTTTAGGCTGGTCTGGAGCTCTGGTCTGCTGCCTCGGGCCGGGCTTGCTGCTGCTGAAAGCGGGAAGTTCCCTTCCTCCAGCCCTGCTCCACTTATCAGCTCCAGCATTCACTGGCTGCTATGAAGGCTATAATTTAAGTCACTAACCCCACAGGAACCAAAGGAATAGTTTTCTGCTGGGCTAGCAAATTTAGATAAGCTTGTGTATGGTCCAGCTGGGTGCCAGAGCGGGGACCAGGGAGCAGACGGGGCTGTGCCGCTGCAGAGACAACGGGGAGGTTGTGCAGGGCTTCCCCCTTGGGTGGCCATCGGCTCTGACGCCAGGGACTGCATATCATGCAGCCATACCTTTGGATGAAAGACTGCTTTTAAGCTTATACAAATGTTAGGATGTTAAAACAAACAAACAAACAAACCTCCAACCTTAGAAAAAGTATGTGAAAAGCAAAAAGCATCTCTTAAGGTTTTCAGTCAACTCACGTGCACTGTCAGGCACAGGGTACCAGGTAACACAGACCGCTGGCCAGACCCCACGTGGGTATTCCAGCGGTCCTCTGAAGTCCGCATGCGTAAGTGCTGTAAAAGGCACGTGAGTTTTTCTGGACGATGGTGCCCCTGGTTTTGAGGGATAAGGTTGTCTTTTCTCACCACAAAATCATTGTCTTCTGGTTGCTGATTAAAGCAGACTTGCTAAGAATGATGTCCCAGAGTGGTTGTAAATCTGCACAAGTGAACAACTATAAATGTTGAAATGGATTTGATTTCATCAAATGTCGGGGGGGGGGGGGGAACTGAGGCATTCCTACCAAAAGCTTTTAAAATGATAGAAAATAAATGGAGAGCTAATACAGTCATTTCAGTCCCTTTAGATTGGGAAGTAAACTAAGCATTACTGGCCAAGTGCAAGTTAGCCAGATGATCATGCTTCTGTATTCATGTTGTGTAAGGGTGTTTTTATTCAAATGGGAGAGTGAACAGTGGTTGTGTTCCTCTGTGAAAACACAGGGTTAATTGCAAGTTGTTGCGAGAGCCCCTTATTGCAGCCTTGGCAGCACATCAGTATTTGTTCTGGAGATTAAGCAAGAGATCCTGGTTTAAAAAATGCTGAGATCAGTGAAAACAGCATTATTTTGGTGCCTAGATGTTTCTTAGTGCCTTAGACCAGGACTCATGAGTGCCAGGTGCTATACAAATGTAGAACAAGAAGACAAAACCCAGTGTCAGTTTAAGCATTTATCTGCAGGACTACTGCAAAATAAAAGCAGGCATGTTTCTTTTTGAAGCATAGCGGTCAGTCGCTCCCTGCAGGAAGACTTCCTCCACGACAGCCCAGGAGGGTCGTGGTTTTAATGAGACAAATCTCTCGATGACATGTTACCTCTCCTCCTTTCCCTGGCTATGCTATTCCCATCACTTCCCTTTGTTGGATGCGATGCTTCCGCAGCCAGAGAGTGAGGCAGTTCAGCTCCATCATCCAATGCATGAAGACATCCAGAAAGTTTTCAGTCTGAGCCATGCGATTAGCAGGACACAGGCAAAGGAGCAGGAATGCAGAACTAGGACAGACAGGACTGTCTTAGGGCCAGCATGGAAAAAATAATCTAAAAGATACAAAGCAGAGTAAAGCAGTCTTCCAGTATTGCCGCAGAAAATACCATCCCATGGTCAAACCTCTTCCAGTTGCTGCTTTGATACAACAATAATAAAAAAATATTTTCTCTATCCTTTGACATTTAACCACTAATTTTAAAGAAAATGAAGTGTGAAAAAGTGTACAGAATTATGACCAAAAAACCTCACCTGCCTTTTACAGCGCTTACCACGAAAACCTGGCCTAAAATTTACTTAAGCAGAGAGTATAATTACCAGGGGGAATAAGAGCTGCCCAGAACAGTGTTTCTGGAGCTCTAAGAAAAGACTAACCATCAGGTTGTCCTGGTGCCTCACGTGAATTCTGTAACTTGGAGGCCTGTGAGGTCCTGAGTGAATGGAACAGGAAAAAATTTGCAACGTAACAAAACAATGATGAGATGTAGCTATGCTATAGTAGTATTGGTTGAACGGCTGTTCATTATGTAGTGTTTGTGACATGTAGAGACAAAAAAATTATGCTGTGTTACTCTTCTCCTTATTTTTCAGCCTTGAGATTGCTAGGTCCTTACTGTCTCTAGTTTTGACATCCATGTTTTCTTCTCTTCCTTTTCCATTCTCCTTGCGTGTTTTATTTTTCCTTTGGTTTCCATCATCCGCTTCCTCTCTGTTGTTCTTAACTTTTTAAAGAAATAACCAACAGCTGAGTAGGAGAAAGAAAGAGACTTTTAAAAATATCAGATAGGTGAACTTTTCTCAGTCTGAGGGTGGGATTTGCAACTGTTAGTCTTTCTGCAGTCTGTGCTGTTGTGGTATTTCAGCAGAATCTCTTTTTTATTTCAGAAACTTCTCGCTTTGATTCCACCATGGAAGGACTTCATTTGGCCACCAAGGATTTTAAACGTGAGGAATAACCTGGAAGAGAGTAACCGCTGTAGATTTTTGGTGTGAATCTTTGGCCATCTCCCCCCCTCCCCGATATCAACCTCTCTGTCCATGTAATAAAACTCAAAATTGAGATAACTTTGTTGTGTGTGGCAAAAGGTCGCTTTCTGAAGCCATTTGGGATTTATACCTTCTCAGTACATCCTCGATTGTGGTACAAAGAGATTGAGGGCAGAGACCAGTGAGCAGAAAGGAGGTGTCTGTCGACATGAGGCGTGAGCTTCAGGATCCAAGGTGTTGCCACGTGAACCAGTACATGAACCGGTAGTGATGCCTACCTGCGGGGAAAGGTGCCTGTTAATGTGTCTTACCCTACTTCTGCCTTTCATCCTGTCAGTCATAATTACATCCCAGTCTCTTTATAACCTCAAGTGGAATAAATACCTTCCTCAGTTGCTCCTATTGTTTCATCCAGAGGTGCGCAACTTACCTTCTTTTCTCCTAAAACCAGGCTTAATGCTTCCCTTCAGCTAGACTCATTTGGGACTATAGAAACGAGGAGAAAATGTCACTGTAGGCCTGATTCAAATATACTGGAGGAAAGATGCGTGTGATTTGTGGTAGACTGGTAAGACCTATAACTAGCACTGATAACCAGTGGTTTGATGTTTCTGTTAGTGGTATTCCTTTTGCCATTTTTTACTTAAAAATTCTTATGATGTGAGGAGAAATTTAAGCTAAAAGCAGTTGTTCCCCCCCCCCCTTTTTTTTTTAATATTGTGGTTTTCCTTCATAATTAAGCATGGTGTTTATTCCTCAACTGGAACAGTAACCTTACCAGTAGCAATTCTGTTACTGAGGAAATTGTCCCAATAACATGAGTAGTGGAGTATTGATTTCCAGGGGGAGATGAACAGCAGAAATTAATGAACCCTTGACAGTAAAATCTAAAATTTTGCTCATATAACTGTCTATGTAAGGCCCGCACAGGTCTCAGAAAAAACTGGAAATATTTACATAGGTAGAGTGAGCTAAATTACATAGGCGATGAATTTTATCCCATGTTTTTAAAACACAATTTCATGGGTTTTTTTTTCCCGAGGTGTGTTTGGATTCATCTACATTTTTTTTAATTTTTTTTTTTGTGGAGGCTGTAAACAGGGCGAGGCTTCTCCACCAGCTCTCTGTTGCTCTTGCTTTTCTGGAGAAGCACAAAATTGCCCTGATGTATTGCTGTGGCGACGTGTTCTGTGCATCTATCTTTAAGGTGGTGCTTGTGATGCCCGGGAATGGAATGCCGAGGGTAGACGCAGTTGATGATGCCGAGGTGGCTGGCACTTTCACCTGCAGAAGGACAGGAGTGTAACCACGAATGGGAGGAGGAAAGCAGAAAGCAAGAGGTGTTGGTGGGACGGACCAGAAGAAGGGGCCCGTGGGGGCAGGGGAGGATCACGAAGGACAGCTATTTATGAGAAAAAACATGAGTGCTTGCTGAAATAGCAAATAATGAAGGTGAGGCAGGCAGTAGAGAGTGGAGGGAGGTGAAAGGACAAATCAAATGACCCTAATTAACTTAATCAGAAAATTAATCAGAAAGAGCAACTTTTGTCAATTGAGACATGCATAAGGCTGGAAATTTCTTTGTAGTGAGAGGGAGTGACAGAAAAGACAATTACCGCCTCACTTCTGGTGAAAAGGGTGAGAAAAGATCGATGGGAAGAGGAGAAGCAAGGAAGCTTAGGTTGTGTGTTCTTGTCAGAAATAATATTTCCCACTTCCACAGCTTCCAGATCCAGAATACCTACCCATTTATTCATTCAACTCCTCTTCCTCATCTTTCCCTGCACCCTTTTTGTTGTGCATCAGCTGAAGAGCCCATACCTGACTGCAGTCACGCTGACACTCCACCGTGGTCTAAACTGCCGATGTGTCCCCACTCTCCACTTAAATACTGCATATACATGTAAGCAGGCAAAGATGTATGTATTTCTAAATTAATGTTGTACCACTAGCAAAATTTACCGGCTGCACTTTTTTCATGCATTTCTTATGTACGTGTGTGATTTTTTCCTCTCCTTGGTTGGAAATGTGCTGCTCTTCTACCAGCAGAACGTTACACAAAATGTGATGGGAAGGGGGAAAGTAATTCATGCTGGCCATAACCGCAGCTTCAGACTTACTGGGTGTACCAGTAGCAGCAAAAAAGTTAGTCTGAGTTCAAGAAAATGTCACTCAAAAATTAGTATTTTCTTCCTCCTTCTGTTTATTGCGAGAGAAATCTGAATGCCTATATTTTCTGTTACTGAATACCGACCTTCTAGAATGCTTAAAATAAAAACAGTTTTCAAAATTTCACAGTATTTCTTGTATGGGTGAAAGGTGTTTCATCTTTTAGTAGGGTGTTGCTAGGTTAAGTTTACTTTAACCCCCCCCGCTATCTTTGAATTTCAAGATTCACATACCTTCTTTCCTGCCCCTTTTCCCTCCCACTCGCTGCCGCTAGCGTTGGTGTGCTACGTCCAGGAGAGCTAAGCTTTCTCCTGGTATGTTGAATGCTCTCTTTAGCACGATTTGTGACGTTCAGAACCCAAAGCTTTCAGCGCTGTCGTTCAGTGTCGGCGTGTCCCTGCGTTGTACCCCAGGCTGGGGCCGATGCCGTGCGTGGCTCCGAGAGCGCGATACCACACCAGCAGGTTTGGGTTTTACTGGAAACTGTCATCTCTTCGGCTTGTGTGGTGGTCGCGTTAAAGCAGATTGGGTTTTCTTTAGGGGAGATAAATCTTGGTAGGCTTGCTGTCGTTTCTCGTGTGCTTCTATGTTTGGAAAAATGTTGATGTAGTGAGCGTGATGGACAGGGTCGCTTGTGCAGGGCAGTTATTTAGCTACATCAGCTTGGAATCCATCCTTGTCTGCCTTTTTTTTTTTTTTTTTTTTTTGGAGGCGGGGGGTTGACTCCACTAGCTCCATTCCTGTCAAAAAAAAAAAAAAAAGAACAAAAAGCTGGGTCGGTGTCTGGGGGACTCCTGTGGAGAGCTGCGCTCCTCCGACGAGCTGTGGCGATTCCCGCCCAGGGGTGCCCCGCAGTTCACCGCTTTCGGCGCTGGCTGCCGTTCCCCCGCCCTTGAGAACCGGGCGACCGATGGTGATTTTTAAAGAATTAACGGCGGTCCCTCGGGCTAACCCTCCAGGTGGAAGGCTAGCGCCGTACCTGACCGGTTTGGCTTGCGGGAGCCTTGCCTCCCCTTCCGTTCCCCTGAGTGTCTCCTTCAGGCGGCTTTCGTTTTCACAGGGGAAGAGCCTCGGCCATTTCCTTCACACACACCCCCCGCCTCAACCCCCCCCTCCGCCGAGGGACGCTCCTCTCCGCCCGCCCGCCCACACGGCAGAGGCCCGGCCCCTGACGGGAGAAGGGAATCCCCGCCGCCTGGGCCGGGCCCCGGCCCCTGGGGGAAGGGGCGTGTGTGGGAATGGATGAGCGGCTGCTGCGGGCCCTGGGGGGGCTCAGCCTGCAGCCCCCGCGGGGCCGCTTCGGCGGGAGGGTGGTGCTGCTGCTGCGGGGGCTGCCGGGCGCCGGGAAGAGCACCCTGGCCAGGTAAGGCGGCCGTTCCGGAGCCCCTTCGGCTCTCCTCGCCTCGGGCCCCCCGACCGGCCGTGGGGTGGGTGTGAGAAGGCGTGAGGGGA